CCTTGGTTCGAAAAACTTGTTTTTTGCAAAACGATTCAGTCTACGAAATAACTTGAAATATTTCAAAGTACTTCAGAAGAATTTATTTTTTGTGGACTGATTCACTTCAAGAAACAACCTGATATCTTTCAAAGTTTCTTACTTTCAAATGAGAAAATTGAAAATTTTGACAAGCATTTTGGTCTATGGAAAATTCAAGCTTCATTGTTTGATTGATTTGAATAGAAAAACTTAAGCTATCCGCAAACTGATTCGGTTCATGCATGAACTTGAGACAATTCATAGCTGGTTTAGCTTGATTCAAAAAGCTTTAACTTTTTGCAAATGATGCCGTCTACGAAAAGTTTTGGAAAATTTCAAACTAATTCAGAAAAACTCAAATTTTTGTGAACTGATTTGCTTTATTAAACAACTCGGAATAATTCAATGTTTCATCTCTTGAATGCCTTAAATAGAAAATTTCGGTTTTCTTAACCGATTTGCTTTATGCAATACGTTGAAACATTGAAATTTCATGGGGCGAATAGTTGCATAAAAAAACTTGGACTTATTGCAAACTGGTTCGTTCTAAGAATCAACTTGAAATGTTTCCCAATATCATTGCTTGATTAACCTGCTTTTGAAAGTTCTAACTTTTTGCAAAGCGATTTGCTCTATGAATAAGCTTGAAATAGTTAGTAATTTAATCCGCTCTACGAATTATTCTGAAATATTTCAAAATTTCGTTGAATGAATAGTTTGCATAGGAAACCTAACTTTTGGCAAAACATTACCTTCTCGCAGTTTTGCATAAAGTTTTAACCGAAATAGTTAGGTGCAAATTGTTTTGAAAAAGTCGGGCCCAAAACTATACCCCAAAAAAGAATCATTTTTGACTTTTTTACTGAACTAAAAATTACGCCATAACTACTTATTCAATAAATGACAAAATTATATCAAAGTGGGTCTCTCATATAGCTTAACAAAGTTTATGAAAAGTAAAAAACTTAAAATAAACAAATTTCTTATTTTTGTTTGATAGATAAAACATAACTATTTTACTAAAAAAAAACATTCATTTTTTATGTGAAAAACAATTTTTAAGCGTCTGTGCAAATTTTTTGGATAGAGATTACACCCTTTTTATGACTCGATGAGTTAAGTAAGAGACCATTTTGAGATAAGTCAGTGACTCGGTAGTTTTGGCGCAATTTTTGATTAACATAAAAAAGCCGAAAAAAGATTGGTTTTCGGAGAAAAAAGTATGGGCCCAAATTTTGTTTAGTTGAAACATTTGGCTATTGACGGCTTTGAAGGAACAAACTTTAAGATTATGATGTTCTCTTTTCGTTGGTCAAAACAACTTTTATCTTACTCCAATTTTATCCTTTGTGGAACATCAAAAAATGCAGAAGAAGTGATAATGTAATTTTCCAAAGTTTTATCCCAGTTAACCATAAATTGTTTTCCAGCCCATCCTTTTTGCGTAACCATTATACAGCTTCTAGGAATTTGATCAACCTATAGAACCCATTAATGCTTTTATTTCCAATTTTGGGTTATTCATGTTTCACAAATTGGTTTTTAAAAAATGTTACAGCAATTTTTGATTTTAAAGCAATTTAAGTTGAATTCAGAAACAAACATTAACCAGTGCATAGTAGTTCATATAAAATTTTCAAAATTTCAGAAAAAAGCGAAAGCCAAAATGTTTAGATTTTTTTTCGATGTGGAACAAAAGGATAATAAGCTGCTAACTAATAGCTAGTTTTTGAATAAAAAAGCAACATATTCTAGTCATTGTTACTTCGAGCTCCTAGGCCTAGGCAGGTGCCCAGAAAACAACGTGTAGCAGAGATATTTTTGCGAAAAATTAAGCACATTATCCCCAATTGGTTTTTGTCCCGTATTCGCCAAATTCTATACAAAACAGGTTACATCACTACATTATCTCATTCAAATCTAAGTACGTCGCTTTATCTAGAGGAAAAGGAAACTTGCCAACTGTTCAATTCTCTGCTGTGACCAGTTGAAAACATCTTTTGGCGTTTTTTTCGCAATGGCTTTACGTAGTATTCACCAGAAAATCAAAGCATATATATATTCCAGAGAAGCAAACAAAAACAAAAAAAATTTTAAAAATATGAACTCAAAAAAGTACTTCGCATTTTTTAAAAATAACTTTTTTTTCTTGAACCGCATTTTTTTTTCATATAATTTTTCCTGAGTTTTCGAAAACTTCACTCATTTCCAACGCCAATGCAAGCAATTGACAGTTTTTAGAAATTAAATTTTTCAATACAACAAATTATAATGGATGCGGTATACCTCAAGCTACTACTTGGAAATTTAACATAGCTTTACTTTGCAGTGTATGACTTTCATTAAAAAGAAGCCAATTTGAAAAATTTTTCGATGTATGATTAGATGTATCTCAATTTTTACGGTATTTAGCTTATAGATGAAAATTGCTGCTCTTTTATCGAATAAAATTATTCATGCGGTAACCAGAGAATTGAAAATTTTAACTATACCAACACGAAAAAACGCGATGAAAATTATGATTTAGAGTTCTCATAGCATAAAAGGGTTTTACCTCACAATAATAGAAAGAGCAAGAACATTTGAAGATCTAGAGGTTTACGACACTTTATCGGGGTTTTTCCTCCTTTTTATTCCACCTTACTTTCCGTTAGTTTAACGCATTTTAAATAAAAAGCGATACATCTCGGTACTAATGACGCCTTTTTTTGACCAACTAGTTTGCTACTGGCTACTTTAGAGCCTAAGAGTTGAATATTTTACACAGAGGCGCGGCTGCATTTCGCACCACTTGTGATACAACAAGTATAGGATTAAAACAGCAAGACACTCGGGAACTATCAAAGACCGTAGAAGAAACAGCTAGAAAAACAAAAATGAAAATCAAATTAACCGTAGAAGAAACAACAAGAAAAATGGATATGAAAATTAGATTTAAATTTTAACTCAAAGCCTTGAAAATCCCGTAATAAATATCGGAAAATTGTAGCAAACAAAATATTAGGAAAACAAAAATCGGGAACAGAATCAAAGACGACAGCCAATTAACTGAAAATTGTTCGGCGAAATCTTATTGAAAAATATACATGTTTTGCCCAGAAAGTATTAAAAAAAGCTATATCAAGGTGGTATACATAATTCGGAAACAACTAAACCGAGAACTGAAAAAAAAACATTTTGAGACCCCTTCACTCAGAACACACACGCGCAGAAAAATTGTTCTCTGCCATCAAATGAAGAAATAGGAGGCTATTAAGTAAAAAAAAACTCAGAGGCGAAGCTGAGCTTCGCACCACTTGAAATACACAATAAAGCTCCAAAAGACCAAATATAGTCTGAAATAAATTTGAAAAACTTGAACAAATTTTGTTGAAAAAATTGTAGTAAAAAAACTCAAGAAAAACTTTATTGCAAATTTTGAAGAAATCAATTACTTCGGGCTTAACTTTATCTATTTTTTTCTGATAACCAATAGATGAAAAGGATAAAAAAACATTTCAATCAAAAAACTAGTAAACCATGAACAAAATTTACCCTCAAGAAAATGACAAAAAAAGTACTGGAAAAATCTATCAAAAATTACAGAATTAATCACCCGGGAAGTAAACCGACAAAACTTGGGTCGAAATCAATAAAAGCGGCAAAAAATTACATCTAAGATAATTTTCAGCTGTTAAACAATTTTCAAATTCAGTCGTTGAAGCCAGCTGTTGAATTACAGCTGTTAGACGTGCAACTTGGGTACAAATAGATATGAATTTGGAGATGACCACAAATTTCAGTCATTTTGAGGATAAAGTTGTTTACGGCAAAAATTCTAGTACACGATTGAACACCCTTGCTTCGATCAAGTCGAAAAAGAAAAAAAAAACAATTTTACCAAATCGAGTTGGTTAAATTACAACCAATGTTAAAAGAAAATTTCGATTCGACCGGAATTTCAAAATTGTTAAGACACTTAAGAAACTACTGTGAAATTTGTTTGCACCAAAAATAAACGTTTCCTAGCTCTGGCAACATAGCCGACAAATCAAGCAGACAAACAATAGGCCGAAATTTTGTGAAACGGAATTTTTCCGTTTGAAAAAAAAACATGTCCTAGTCAGGCAGGTTTCGAACCCAGGACCTTTGCCTTCCCAGGCGTTTACGGGGGAAAATTCTAGTACCCGATTGCAATACCCTTGCTTATCGCAAGGGTAAATGTACGAAGACAAATACTGAGTTCTTTGACCCTCAACGTTCAAAATTTTTCATTTTCGTTTCAAATATGCATAGTTTTTGACAGTACTCATTGTGAAGTTTGAATGACAAATATGCTCCAACTAGTTTTTTCAGCGTACCAATATTTTTACGCTACAGCAAAAAAAACTTCATTGATTAAGTTTTGAAAAAAGCAAAAACTGTAACATAAAAAATCTATAAAATCTGGAGCAAAAAAAATTACCTCGAGCAAAAACATTAGTTGACTTTTTCTGAGATAAGAAACAACCAACTTCACTCAGTTACTCAGAAAAACCTGAGCCAAAAATTTAGTGAGCATGTTATCTATTTAAGCACCAAATTATTATTTTTATCCCAGTCCAATTAATGTTGCATCAAATTTTAATGTAACATCTTTGCAATATTATAATTCCTTCTTGCATTTAAATTCATTCTTGATTGCATAATTCAACAAATACAAGTACTGGCTTTCAACTTAAACAATCCTAACATTATAATTCATGTCATATAGTTTGAAAAAAAAATCGTTTCAGTTTCAGCAAACTACTTTCAAGTTTTTAATTCTATCGAGATATTAAAACTCATTCATCATTTGGCTTCTGTATTCAAATGTAAGTAAAAACTTAGAAAACAGTGTGTTAAAATTTAATTGCTTTGTTAAAATTCAAACCTTCGGTTGGAATCTTTTTTGATATTAAAGATAATTTCGGTGAAATATACAATCAGGGATGTTTCAAACAAATGCAAAAAGTTTTATTTCACGAGTTTTCTGCTACAGTTGACGTGATCCATTGCTGATACTTCGAAACTCTTGTGAAAACTGAAAGTCCTTTGTTACATCCGAGTGGGCCATAACTCGTCAGGCCATACAAACATATGGCCTTATTGTTGCTGTCCACAAAAACCAATGGCCCACCGCTGTCACCGTTGCACGCAGTTTTTTTCTCGGAATTTGTGCAGCAAATTTGATTTTCTGGGTTGCCCATTAACCCTGCCAAAACAAAAGGAGATGCATAAAATCTGGCATCGGTTAGATTTACAACTGAAAACTTCTCAGTTAAGACTTGATCACTCATCGTACTGCAATGGCGCACAAAATATCATGGCTACTAAGAGTAATATTCTAGACTCAATTCATTAAATAATACTTGCAGATTTTCATTGTTTAGACCCATCGAACGTTAGCTTCAAAAAAAAACTTTATCATATAATTGAGGAAAACATCGCGAGTAATCCTTGTAGATAGTCGGTGGGCACGCTAGTTAATGTATGCTCAATACAAATGCTTTAAAATTACCTGGCAATCGATCAAAGCAATCCTCATTTTCCTTCAATTCCACCTCTTGCAAAACTTCAGGAATAACAGCAGCCCCGTTCTCAAACCTTTCTACTATTTCATCCCAATTCGTCCACGTTTCGTTCAGGCCCATCCCTATTGCCACTAGTTTAGAATGTCGAGGACTTCGGTCTCCACACAAAGGCAGGACGTCTTGTTTGGGTACGCTTGAGCTAATCTTCAAAAGAGCTATATCGTGTGCCCTTGACCTTACTTCGGGTCCATTTCCAGTCATATCAATTTGATAGCTAAAACAGTTTCTCAGTTTTGTTGGCAAAAAGACAAATAAAGAAATAATTATCTTTTAAATAACATTAAAATAGTTTAAGTTATTTCTTTTCTAATTTCCAGCTGCATAAGGGTAAACAGGGCAAGATTTTCAAACCCTAGAACTATTATTAAAAGTTTACATTGTTACAGTGGCAATAGGTGCAGGGTGCATAACCCGATGAATGAAGAAAGTATTCGGGTACTGGAGTTGATGGGAAAAAATATCAGAAAAAAAAGAACAAGAATAACATAGTTCCTTTCATATTCAAAACTTTTTGAAGTTAATTGATGTTCAATCAATCACTTTACCAAGCGGCTTTTCTCCATTCATTCATTATAATAATGATCATTTAAAAAAATTCAGGTAGAAATTTTTTTTAAAAAGTACACCAAATTTGATTTTAGTAAATTTATTACTGCTTGGGAGATCACCATTGGATCTACAGATCCGTTTTCAGGTGTCTCTCAGTTTCCAGTGTCCCTGAATCGGGTGATGCCTTACCCTTCGTGAATAAACATAGTGCCAAGTGCAGTTCGGAGCTTCGGCTGTTTCTGGGTGAAGTCTCCAATCTCTGCTACTGCAATCTCTGAAATTAAAATCAAGTAATGAGTGATATTTGTTGAGCTTTATATATTTAAAGATCAAGGTATTTGGAACAAAAAACGTAATTAATAAATATTTTTTTTGAATTCGTTTTTTATCTTAGGATTCATTTGCTTAAGTCATTATGGATCATTTTGTATCGGCTCTCTTTGTTATGTTTAGACCTTCCATAATCAAACTTCTCTTTGAAACTATGTCAGGGTTTCAAAAGTATAAACATACTAAGAAACCAATTGAATATAGTCGATTACTAACTAGCTGTGGCTAGACAATGTGCCGCAGTCACCACCCAATTGTCCTTAATAAGAGTGCCTCCACAAGTTCCTCCAGGGTACATTCGTAATTGGACAAAGAAACCTCGCTTGGGGGCGTCATATCCGTTTATTACGCTTCGCTTGAGATCACCGCTAGCTAACGAGAAATGAGTGAAGGATGAAGCAACAATGCAAAGGGTTAAACACGCTTCGTAAACATTCATTGTCGACAAGGAGTTTTTTTTGTTTTCAACTTTGTATGGCCTATTATTTGATGTTATGTTTTGGTAACAAAAAATTTTAGTGAACGGTAATTTTAAACTACCGATAGTTTTTGGCCCAGCTGGTCCATCAAATGACATCTTTCTCAAGTGTTATTTTGTTACGACTTTCGAATAAAAGTGGGGAACATTCGGGGGTGTTTTTTATTCAGACCAATTGACAAAAGAATGTTCCTCTCGGGTTCGATCCCTTGATCTTTGTAATCTCAGAAGGATCGCGCTCAGCACTATACTTATCTGATTTTTTGGTAGCCGTGAAATGAGCCTAAATAAAGTGCTCGTTCTATAATATGATGCTGAAAATCAAACACGCAATACGAGCAGTCTTGTTTTGATAAATGTTCTGTATTGTTCAAATCGCTATTTTTGAAGAGAGTCGATGAGTTTAGCTAATTACATATTTATATTTAGAAAATGCATTATACTATCATGAATATTCTAAGTTTTAGAAGGCTAGACAAAATTAAAAAATGGAAAAAAATTGAGGGGTTTACAGAGAGCTAAGAAATTCTTAGTAAACAGCACAAAAGTTAAGTTTTTGGCAACAAAATTACTCATTGTAAAGCTAAGGATCTTACCTGAGTCCCAAGAAAACTTTTCATCGACTTAACAAGCTATTAAAAACATGTCTTTGCTAAAGGTCAAAATATACCCGACAGTTCATGAACTGTTTCAGTAAATTGAACAAAATTACAACTTGTAGCTGAACCACTTGTTTCTAAATTTCGTGTTAAGTCGAGCAAAAAAGATAAAAAGGTAAGATTCTAAGCCTTACAATGAATGCGTTTTGATTTTGACAATTTAAATCTTTATGTCATTCACAGGACTTTTTCAGCTCTCAAAAACCTCCCGGACAACTATGAATTGAATAGCCAAATAAGACTTATAAAAAGCGAATTTCATTCCAATAGATGATTCAATCATCTTGTTTCAAAGCTGTGCATCTAAATTTTGCAACAAAAAGATCGTTAATTTCGGTAGAACGACAGTTTTGAACAGTCGACGATTCGTTACAAAGCATTGACAAGAAGCGACCGCTTGCTCTGGTGGCCTTGCACTCGATTTTTGTGGTAATGTATATATGAATCAGTTTTCCGACTGAGTTTACCTTCAAAAAGTGTCGTTTGTTGCTAATTGTCGATTGTCAGTTTAAATTAAAATTTGCGAGTTCTTTATATCGTAGCATCCTTCATGATTTACTCCACCAATAGCATAAAAATCTATTATTTGAAACAGTAAATGGAAACAAAGAAATGCACCTTCAATTAAGAAACCCTACAATGATTTTGACAATAGAAAACTTAAGATATATTTTTTTGTCACGCCAATTTTAACAAAACGTGCCACGCTAATCGAATAAGATCACAAAAACTGTTACTCAATCATTAGGTTTACAATTCATTAAGATTATGTTGCAATTCATTAATATTAAATCTGCCTAGCCACTTAAAAACTACCGGTAGAATAAAAAACTTAGTTTTGTTCAAGAATTACAGACGGGTAGAATTGACAAAACTTTCCAACAGAGTGATTTTTACAGAGCGTAATTTTACTTATTATGTATGACAATATTAACAGCGGATGGTATTGACTTCTTGCATCTTCTTTGACGAATTCCTTTATTGGATTATTTTTTTAAGAAGTGAGAAAAATGGTAACATCTACCACCTGCACTGACCCACAAAACAACTGGCGACCAATACTCATGAAAAAAAATTATAGGAAAATTTTGGTCAAAGTTTTAAGTTTTAACACTGAACCAATTGACTTATAAATATGAGAATTAAATGAACCAATCAAAGGCAAAATTCATCAAGACAAGAAGCACAGACAGTTCCGACCATTTTCTTAACAAAATTTTAAAAATGCAATTTTTTGTTTCAGTTTTTAGTACGTTTTTGATGCCGCGTATGATGAGAATAATTTAATCATATTTACTTCAATTGTCCTCCCAGCTGGGTTCTTTAGCTGATCTCTCATTTGTTCTGGCTGGTGCCTCATGTTAAGATGTTTGATTGTGTAAAACAATGAGAATTAAATTCTTTGTCTTCTACAGGAGTGGTTTAAAAATGAAGACAGAGAAACAAGAGAAAAAAGTTATTTCAAAATAACTTTTCTAATATTCTCTGCTATTTTCTGAAAACAAAACCGTTGTTGCCAGGAAGCGCTGACGGAAACTTCAGAAGTTTGTTTTTTCTCAGTAAAACTAAATTGAGGCAGCTTAAAAAAGTAAAAAAATTTCAGCTTGAGCTTCCCTATTGATTACAACTCGAATAAATGACTTTCCAAATTTAACTCTGCTCCAATTTTACGTATTTTTGCGTCTCAACTTTTGTAGCGTCTCCGGCACACTTAGTCTGGAGGTTACAAAAATGCCTGGGACGGCAAATGTACTGAGTTCGATTTTGCCCAGGACCTGTCTTTTAGAACGGGAAATATTAGGGTTCAAGGAAAACTGTCGGCCCATGATTTATCTGCTTGGTTGCTACTTCTTGAATTATTTTTTTTTACTATCTTTACAGTAATCTTTATCAAACTACCTTAATCGTAGTTGCTTTTAGTGTTTAGAATTACTGCTGCTAATAGTAATTTAGTACTAGCCTTGAAAATATATGTACTAGCCTTGACTTCGTATATATTTTTTGCTGAAAAACTTTATTCGTCCCAAATTAACTTATTAAACAGATGTGTTATGTTTCGACGAACCGGATAAATTTTCAAACTGGGTAGCCCTTGTCTACGAAGGGACGTTAGAGATCCGGTTGTATGCACCTGGCACTGAAACGACTCGTGATTTTGAATTTTCAGCGGATGTCAACCGATTAACTAGTATTTCAAATCGAAGAACTCATCGTTCTTTTGTTTACACTACCGAAAAGCCTCAGAGCTGATAATTTTGATAGCATTAGATTCCTTGAAGCTTGTCAAATTTTCTGATGACCACGAGTTGACTCCCAGTGGTTTAAAGAAAGCTTGAGACGCTTAGTTGTCCTCATTTTCTTTTTATTACATCCTACGATATATCGTTGAAGTGTGGTAGCGAAGTTCTTCAGAGACCTTAAGCGAGCCTTAGTAAATCATCATATTTTGGTAAAGATGCTCAACATGGCGGATCAAGTATTGGAGTTATGTCACCAGCATCTGAATCGTCTAAGAATGGACTTCTGTCATGGTCTTGTATGAAATGTGCCCCCGTCATCAGCGAGTTGTTCAACGGCAACTTCTGTGATATTCTCGAAAGCATCAACATGTGACTGGCGAAGCTTGAAAGTCTAGCAAACGATGTCGAGGAAATCAAACAAAAACAAATAGAAAATGATTAAGTGTTTGAGAAAGATAAAAAGCAAGGTGATGCAGAGAAGCAGCCAACTTTCAGTGAGACCATACGGCGGAAGTCTGCAGCAAATCTAAGCAAGATTTGCAGATCTGCATTCACGTCAGATGATACCAAAAAAGAAGAAAATTGGCGAAACAATTGGTCAACCAAAGCAGGTAAGAATGAACCAAGTTAAATAAGAAACATGGAATCCCAGCAATGGTTTATTGGCAACTGAAAAACTTACGTCTAGGAGACATTTGTATGTCGGTAAATGTAATACTGGAGTCAATTGTTAAATAGCGAGTGACCATTGCAAAAATAAGGGAGTGAATACCATAGCTGTTCAAAAGAATGGCGTACCGACAGTTCAGACCTAGTGAAGATGCAAGAGCGCGATTGAAAATTTAAAAAAAAGCTGATTAAAGTAGAAAAAAAGCAATACGTCATCTGTTGTCTATGGAATGTCAGATCTCTCCGAAAAAATTCTCATTAAATCGTTTGATGTTTATTTTTTTTCTCACCGAGACATGGGTTATAGATGAGAAGATCGACGAATTCGTTCCAGTTGGCTCTACCCCAAAACAATTTAGACTCCTCAGTGCTAAAGTGAACGATAAAAGAAGAGGTGGTTCACTTCTCATTTAAAACCTGAAGGATCAAGAAACCGAGATCGAGAGTTTCGAAAATGACAGTTTAGACTTTCTGTTATTGAAAATTATGGCAGGCAGAAATCCTAATATCTTTTACCTCCTTTACGACCACCGTCGGGATCTTTCGTTGCTTTCTGTCGGAATTTCCAACCTAGTAACGCATTATCGCTCTTGCAACGAACGAATTATTATTCTTGGTGATTGTAACATTCATTTTAACAATCCTCTTGACTATAAAACAGCGAAGTTCCTCGATGCCATGCTCAAAGCAGGATTTAACAAGATGGCGTCTTTTTCCACTCATTGCTATGGACATACACTTGATCGAATTCTGTGTTCGCCGAGTGTGAGCATAACCGATTTTTTCCCTGGAGATTGTAATCTCAGTGATCACTGCCCTGTGTTCTTTTCTACGAATATTGAAAAAACAATATTACCAATCAGTTATTGGTGGAAACGAAAACGTGCGTGTAGTGCCAGCGCACTCAACATGGAACTGAGACGTGTTTTAGTTCTAGGATTGGAAAGCAAAGAAAAGACGGTGACCATCCACTGCCTTTCTAAAAAAATGGTTCGCAAAGAAAAACTTTATTTGGTTGATGATGATGTAGTGGCTCAGAGACGTGAAACAAGAAAACCTGAATGGCAGATGAAAACCGTTTGCTCCTCAAAGTTTGTCAAAATACAAACACGAAGCTTGTGTTCTTCTAGAGCTTCTCGAAAAAAACGCTGCTCCTTTCTGTTTCTGCAAAGCTTCTGTGCCGCTAGTGACTCCAAGATATGCTACGAATCAATAATGCATGAGATCAAGCAATAACACAGTATCGTTGTGT